GACATGTAGTAGGGCTAGAGGGCTACTGGAATGACCCTGAGATCAGCCCACGTGGCAAAGCTACAATGGTGGAGACCCAAAGTAGCCCCTTTACCAAGTACTGGTAGCTAAACAAACAAGCAACGTATTACATAGCCCCTTTCCACTTTCAAACGCCATCGCCGGTGCTCCCCTTGGTTAACCACCACCTCGGCTAATCACCCACATCAGCCATTGCAACGTAATTAGTGGTGTAGGAAAAACACAAGAGTCAACCGTGCCAGTAATCAGATTTCCATGCAACTGAGAGGATACTCGAACGCAACATTACCGATCTCTCTTGGCAATTCTACAGAATCTAAAGTTTCATTTTGTATAAGAAGCGGATTCGAGGAAGGGGAAATGTGCTGAACATCACGCGTGCCCACCTGGCGAAGGTACAGTGGTGGAGTACCTATGTGACTCCTCCACCAAGTTCCATAAATAAGCAAACATTCAACTTTCCCACATTTGGTCAAGGCAATAATTTCACTTACGCAGCTGCAAAGCCGTTTAAACCTCTTCATGCATCTTCTCTGCTGAGGCAGGAAGAGGAGTGGTGATTGTTTGTGTCTTAGCGTGGTTTATTCTGTCTGTCATGATGGCAGCCTTTGCAGTTGAGGACTCAAATTATTGTAGCGCCACGACCCCTATTTAAAATGCCGTAGTGGGCTAAAGTGGCGTGGAAGAACAGAGGAGCTGGGCGTGTGTTAGCCTGGCTAGAAGGCTATGTCACAGGGTGGAAGTGGAATCTGTAGGGGCTAAAATGCTCTCAAAATTAGCGCCTTCAAGCCAAACTGATTGCAGTGATGAGGGGGAGGGAGACCATTTGTTGTGTCAAGCATCGGATATTGTCAGCAAGTGTGTGTGTGTGTGTGTTAGCGCTTCAAGAGCACAAAATCATCTCCACAGGCGTGGAACTGAAGCATACAAGTAGAAGGGTAAGTTATCAAGCGTTGATTTGGGCAGAGCTTGTCAAGTGGGCACCTGGACTCCTGACGATTATTAAAGCAGAGGATGGCGAATTATATCTTGCTCTTCATTTTTTCCTTAGGGATTTCAATTTCGACCTAATTCATTGAATAATTTACAGTTTTTTTGTAAAATGAGCAAATTTTATGCTCATTCTTCTTTTTTCCCTTTTTTGCAAATAATACGTTTGTCATTGACAATGTAACAGGTAATGCGGGCGTTAACTTGTCTTCATGCCCATGATAAACTTCACACAAAGCACTTCGCACTAGTCAATTGAAATACGCCTACTATATCATTTCTTCTTTATTTTCCTTTCGTCTAACAGTTCTCGCCATCATCTACTTTTGTAACACTTGCCACTCAAGAGGTATCAATCAAAACTGGGAAGCATTTGCAGTACCTTCTTGCTTCATAGTGTTGAACTTTGTCACAATCTATTTCCCAAATTATTCCTCACCAACACACATTCCTGATGCGAATTTCGGGTTTTGTGAAATGCCCTGCCTCTGGAAGCATAAGACTGATCCTTATTCACCTTCACCTCTATCTGGCCCTCTCTCCCTCCCCCAACTTCCTCTTTTGCCTCATTTGTCTAATGTCAAGTCTACGACCAGGTGGTACCCATTTGAAGTCTGGCTAAATATGAGGAAAAGACAGATGATGTGGGAGAGCATCTCGCTTCCTTCCTTTCCAAAGTGAGGCGTGAGGTGTTGGAAGGAGTAAGTGTTAAGTTATGAGGTTGGAGGTCTTGCCTTGA